ATTTTTCAGTTGAAAGCCAGCATTTCTGAACCATTTATTTTTGACTCAAGCTGCCTTTTCTCTCTGCCCAGGGATGGAGCTGTTGTTTGGGCCAGGATCTCAGGGGACTTGGAGAAGAACCAACTAGCTTTCCCATTGGCTCTACTCATTTCAGTCTTTTTGGAAACAATATAAATTGGCAACCCTTGCCTGCTTAGCTTCTGCAAATGTGTTGAAAGGGATTCTCTCTTTTGCTATCAGTCCCTAGCAGGAGGTTTTGAATAATGCATGGGGGAGTTGCTTATATTGATAAACATGGTTAATTTAAATTATGAGACCAGAGATTCATGCTGAACTTCAAACTTTTATTTTTAAGATTTTGAGTGGATACACTTTAATTTTTTATGATTCTAAGTGTACACATATATTTAGTTCTTAACTGAAGAGGGGAAAGTGCCTCTGGGGATTGTGCTGGCTAATTTTATGTAACTCACAAGCTAGGGTCACTTGGGAAGAAAGAATCTTAATTGAGAAAATGTCTCTATAGGATTGGCCCGTAGGCAACTTTGTGTTGCATTTTCTTGATTGATGTGGGAGAGCCCAGCCCACTGTGGACGTTGCTACCTCTGGGCAGGTGGCCTTGGATGGTATAAGAAAGCAGGCTAAGTAAGCCATAAGGAACAAGCCAGTAAGTAGCACCCTTCCATGGCCTCTGCTTCAGTTTCTGCCTCTAGGTTCCTGCCTTGAGTTACTGCCCTGATTTCTTTTGATGATGGACTGTGACCTGAAAATCATAAGCTAGAATAAATCCTTCTCATTCCAGGTTACTTTTGGTCATGTTGTTTTATCATGGCATTAGAAACCTAACTAAGACAGGAGTTAATACATGGCTTCTTTGATAACATTTGGGTGCATTTTTATCTAGCTGGGTATTGTGCTCTGTGGGTGTATGAATCACTTGACATTGAAGTGGTCCTGACTTGGGGTGGGGAGGGCTCCTTCAGTGTTCTAATGTACTGAACAGGTGTGTGTGTGTGTGTGTGTGTGTGTGTGTGTGTATGTGTGTGTTGGGAGGGGTAAGCCTTGAGAAGCTGTGTCCTGTCTTCATGAACATAAATAGGGGGAGCTGCATTTGGGGACAATAGCATTGTGTCTCTTCAGCTGAAGATTTGGGATTTGATAGGAAATTATTCCAAAGGATGTTTGCCTGCAAAACTGCTCGGCATTAAGGAAAGCTTCCCCCATAGTCTTTCCTGCCTACTGAGGCAGACTGGGTTTTTATGTAGGAGGGTAGCTCAGAGGAGGCAGACAGATGTAAATTTTCTGGACCCCTCTTTTGAAAATTGAGTTCAGGGTATGATAACTGCCATGACACCTGTTTTGCCTGGTTTCTGATTTCTAAACTGGGATTCCATTTCAGCCAGTCAGTATGATAGCAGCCTAACCTTAGCAGTTGATTAATTTCCTGTTAATATTGATCTACCAGTCTACACCCAAATTTACATGTTGTCATAAGCTTTCTAAGAAAATATACAATATAAAAAGCTATAGAAACAAGTGTGGACATGAGAAGAATTACCTGATGGGGTTGTCCTTCTGTATATATGTTTCTCTTATTGGTTGATGAATAAAACACTGTTCGGCCAATAAGTCAGGGAGATAGGCAGGACTAGGGGAGGAGAATTCTGGGAAAGGTAGGCAGATGGAACCTGCCACACAGTCACCATGTAGACCTGGAGGATAGTATGCGCCAGGCGTTCTCCAGTAAGCCAAGACCAAGTGGGAATACATAGATTGATAGAAATGGGTTTATAATTAAGACAGAGCTAACCAGTAAGAAGCTCTAGTCACTGGCCAACAGTTTTATAACTAATATAGCATCCGTGTATTTATTTGGGGCCAAACAGCTGTGGGAAGCTATAATAACAATTACCCTTTTCACTTATTGATTAAAACATTCAATTATCTCATTAAAGTCACCTTTATTCTGTGCCTAGAATATTTTAAGAAAAACTGTGAACTCTCTGTCCTTGTCAAGCTGTGTTTTAGACTGGGTTAACAGTTGGAAGATGATAAGTATGTGGCAGCATCTGGCCTTCTGTGTTGTTTGGATGATAAGGCAGGATGAGGGAACAACAGGAGTGAGATGAGGAGGTAGGTAGGTGAGTATTTGATGAGGTGGCATCTTACCTGTGGCCTTGAGTCATGTGAGGATTGAAGGACAAAGTTGTTGCTAGAAGGAATGGTAGGTGTGGAGGCTTGAGGGCAGAGCTCACTGGGTGTGCTCAAGGCACTACTAGGGGCCAGAGTAGCTAGAGTGAAGTATGGGGAAAGATGGGAAAAAGTTGGGGGAAAATTTCGTGGGCTGTTGCAAGAATCAGAAGTTACTGTGGTCTGCAGGAAGTCACCAGAGGGCATTGGGAGGACTAATGACCACAATTTGACTTCCATTAAAAAAAGAGAAAGTAAAGTAAAAGACTCTGGGAGCCATGCTGAGAGTATTCCAAGTGTCAGAGACATGGGACCTCGACAGAGATCAGTTAAGAGATTTGTAACCAGTCCTGAGAAGGGCAATGGTGACGCAGGCCTAAGAGCATGAGTGGGGAAGGGTATGATGACTGGGTTCTGTATATATTTTGAAGGAGATGATGCTAATAAGGAGCAAGAGAGATACCAAGATTTTTGACACAAGTTATTAGAAGAAAAGTCTTGCCATTAATTGAGATGGTAAGGCTGAGGGGAAACTACCAACTAGGGACAGAAGGAAACTTCCTCAACTCAATAAAAGGTGACATGGTCTTACATGTGGAAAGCCTTAAGAAATCTATGGATGGTCTTGGAACTGATAAGTAGGCACTGCAAGGTTGCTGGAAATACTCAAGGCACAAAATTCACAGTTGTGCTGTTGTTTCATTTTCTTTCTTTTCTTTTTTGTTTTTGTTTTTTGTTTTTTTTTTTGAGTTAGGGTTTCATCTCAAACTCTGTATCCTCTTGCCTCAGCCCCCTGAATTCTGGAATTACAGGCATGGTCCCCCATTCCTAAACAGTTTGTGCTATGTATGAATGATTAGCATTCTAGAAATGAAAATATGAAAGCAATAGCATTTGCTCCAGGAGACTGGGTGAGATTAACCAGAAAGAGGATGTCTGAATGGGGGGGGGGCGGTAAATATGAGATATAAAAGCTACAGGCTTTGGTAGGTAAGGAGACGAGAAGGTGCAAGCAGATGGGACAGATAGACCATGAGTGTGGCATATAGGCAAGCAAGGGGTCATGTCCAGGACAAGTACTTGGGTAAGGAGAATTGGTCAGCAGGTAAAAAGCAAGTGGGAGAGTAGGGAAGAGGAGGTTGAGATGAGGATGGGTCCAGAACCTTCTATTTTGGAAAAAGATAATGAAAATTGAGTAGTAGAAATGGGTATGCAATTCCAATTTTTACATCTCTTATTCACATAGGAATATTGCCAACTTGTGACTGTGAAAGTCTGTAAATGCTTGCTCTGCCTTCTAGCTATCTCACCATAATCTGCAACAGTTTTCTGAGTGGGCAGGTACTTGTCCATGGAGTTCACTTTGTGATGTGTAAGTCTAGGATTAGTAGAGGCAACATGAACTGTAACTTGTAGTTGGTTTTTTGTTACTCTTTTTTGCTCTTTGTTCTTTGGGGACCCACCACCCAGATCCCAAAATAAACCACACAGAGGCTTATTCTTATTTATGAATGCCTGGCCTTAGCTTGATTTATTCCTAGCCAGCTTTTCTTAAGTTAAATTATCCCATCTACCTTTTGCCTCTGGACTTTTATCTTTCTCTATTTTTTCTCTAAACCTTTCTTTACTTCTTACTCCATGGCTTGCTGCGTAGCTTGATAGCTGACCCCTGATGTCTTCTTCTTTTTCTTACTCCTCCATGATCTTCTCTTCCCAGATTTCTCCTCCCCTTTATTCTCTTTGTCTGCCAGCCCTGCCTTATCCTTTCCTCCTGCCTTGCTATTGACTGTTCAGATCTTTATTAGGCTAATCAGATATTTTAGACAGGCAAAATAACATAGCTGCACAGAGGTAAAGAAACGCAGCATAAAAGAATGCAGCGCATCTTTGAATCATTAAATCAATATTACACAGCATAAACAAATGTAACACATCTTAAAATAATATTCCACAACAGAAACGAACTCAACAAGAACTTGATCAGAGCACTGAGCTTGGTGACCGTAGTTACTGAGAAGAGAATAAACATAACCTTGCTCTCTCTGTGGGGTCATACATCTCCAGAAAAGCAGGAAGCTGATGTCCTATGATACCCATAGGTTGTAGCATTAGTCAGTCATCTTGTGTGATACATTGGCCCTTTCTAAAGCTAACAGCAGTGGTCTTCCTCACATTCCTGGCAGTTCATGACATTTGACTCTAGATTTCACAAAGCTCTGCACTGTGGATGGTGTTTCAGTTTCCTTGTCCTTCCTTCTCCCCCTCCTCCATTCTGCCCTCCAGCCTTCCCTCTCTCCTTTAACCAACCCCCTCTTCTCCTATTTTTCCTCCTCTCCTCTCTCCTTTTCTTTCCTCCCTTTTCTGTTTTCTTCAAACTCAATGATTGACGCAGACTCAAAAAGATGGAACAACTTTTCCACTGTCATGCATCTTTCAGACCCGTAGGCTTGCTGCAGACTCAAGGATGGAGGTAGGGGTGGAGATGGGGGAGGAGGGAGTGGGGGTAACCCTGCTTCTGGATTTGAGTTTAGCACTAGTAGTGCTTCCTGTGCTTTGACAATTTATTCCTGTTTGCTAGTGGAACTCCAAATCAGTGTGTGTGTGTGTGTGTGTGTGTGTGTGTGTGTGTGTGTGTACAAATGTTAGTGCATGAGTGTGTGTGCACACTCGAGTGTGCATACACGAATGCGTGTGATCAACACAGCCTAGTTAACTGACTGGAATTGTGAGTCTGGACAGCCAGGTGATGCTCAGGAGTATTTTGTGTTCTTAACTGCTGCCTTGTAACCCAATTGTTTTCTTTTCCCTAGTGTACGAGTTATTTGCATTCATCAGTCACATGGGAACATCTACAATGAGTGGCCATTATGTTTGCCATATCAAAAAGGAGGGACGGTGAGTCTTTTTAGAAAGATAGTAAATAGCTGTGTTGTTGAGCCTCTTCTGGATTCAGCTATTGTACTAGTGTTGTCTATGTTATTTCTGGTTCTTACATTGATTTTTTTCCATTTCTTTTTTCTTTCTTTCTTTCTTTCTTTCTTTCTTTCTTTCTTTCTTTCTTCCTTCCTTCCTTCCTTCCTTCCTTTCTTTTTTTTTTTTGAGATGGGGGTCTCTCTCACTATGTAGTCTTGGCTGGCCTGGAATTCGATATGTAGAGCAGGTTGGTCTCAAAATTCCCGCTTGCATTTGCCTCCCAAGTGCTAGGATTAAAGGTGTGTACTATGTACCACCATGCTCAACATCTCACATTGGTCTTGAAGAGGTATGCACCAACACAGTGTCTCTGTCTCTGTCTCTGTCTCTGTCTCTGTCTCTGTCTCTCTCTCTGCCTCTTTCTCTATTTCTCCCTCCCACTCCTTTAAAACTAGAGTCTCTATTGTAGCTCCGGTCACCCTAGAACCTGTTTTGTAGTCTTAGCTGGTATTTAACTTGAGGTCCTCTGTCCCACGCGCTCTGTATTTCTCGCCAGCAAGAAATCATACACGGGACACTCGGATCCTTCTGCAGACAAGCTTTAATGCGTCTTGAGAGTGAAAGAGCATAAGCTTCCCAGAGCGGAGACACTAAACCAAGAAAACCATCCCTTATAAAGGCTGGCCAGCCGCCTGGGACATGTTACCCTATGAATGGCTTTAGCTCCTCAGGCCAAAATGAGCCACGGGATAGGCAGAGATCAAAGGAATGGAGATTACCTGGGACTTAGGTTAGTTAGTTGTCAGGTATGCTGGAACTGGTATTCAAAGTCACTTTATTGTGCCAAGGTGACATCCCCAAATAAAGGTGCACCTATAGCATAAGGTAGGCTGTATTTGGAACCTCCATAGAATAGTGAATTTAGCCATCAAAACAAGAGAACAAAGATGGCCTGTTTACTTTAAGTTTTGAAAATGAACACTTTTTAGTATAAGTGTGCTTCTAACATTGCCTATTTGCAATATTACATGAACATATTTATGTGAATAAGTTATTTGTTGTTTACTTGATTCAGCTGGGTAACTTGTATTCTACCTGGCAGCCCCAAATCTTAGGTATTTTGTTCATGCCAACCTATAAGTTAGCTTCTTGAGTCAAATGTCAAGGTTTGTGATGAGGTAGGAGTGAGGTGGTCTAACCTCATGCCTTCTTCTTGGGTATCCTTCTTTCAATTCCCTGTTATAGCCTGTGGTGGGCTTTCTGGCTTGTTCACATCACATGGACACTGGTATGACATATAGGCTTGCCCACGCAGGTAGGGTGTTGACATTTCACACGTGTCTCCCATGACCTAGATGGTTTGTTCCCATCCAGATTCAATTGTTTTTCTTTTCTTCTTTTTTTCCAGTTTTTTTCGTTTTAGCTTCTTAGTGTGGTCAGTAGAGTCAAGCAGAGAACACAGGTTTATGGTTTTAAATAAGATAATAACAAATTCAAGAGGCTAGTGAAAATGGAGCAGTTTTTAACATATCGTTTGTAGAAGGGGATACGGCATGGAGAAAAGGCAAAAAAATGTCTGGTGGACTGATTTGGCATAAGACTGTGGTTTTTCAAGTTGCCCAACTGTCAACTTCTATTGGCTGGGACTTATCCCAAACTTCCCATGTCATAGCCTCATCCAATGAACAGTTGAGACTGCCCTTTCAAATCTTGGGTTCAGTCTGTAGCAAAAGACCTAGTCCTTTCTAAAACTCCTGGGTTTTGAGACAAGCAGCTGTGAACTATGGGAAAGAGGGACCCTTGATCAGTAGTGTAGTTGAACCTAAATGCACCTTGTGCTGAAAATGGACAATGTGTTTTTTACACAGGGACTTACATACATGATGACCTCAAGGAGTGGCCTAATTAGAGAAATCAGTACAAATAATTGTAACAAATTAGCACAGTACAAAACAATGCAAAGAATATATCCGCTGTAAGTGTAAGGATAGCCATTATCAACTTATTTATCTATTTATTTAATTTGTTGTTGGTATCATTTGGGGAGGGCACACATACATACACACACTCACATGTATACATATTTATGCACATGTACTTTCACCTTTTTGAAGCCTTAAAGTATGTGCAAGGAATTGTACCCTGTTTTTGGTTGTTTGGGTTTTTTTTCCTTAGAATTTATGTTTTTTTATTTAAATTTTTTGAGATTACAACGTAATTACAACATTTTCCCTTCCCTTTCCTCCCTCCAAAGCCTCCCACATACCCCTCTTGGCTTCCTTTCAAATTCTTGGCCTCTGTTTTGATTAATTGCTGTTGCATGCATATATGTATATACATATGTATTACTAAATATAACCTGCTTGTCTTCTCCATATTGTATTGCAGTTAGTCCATATTTCATCTTCATACTATACTGTGATTATTTTCTTGCTTTATTAAACATTTTTTGAAGAAATGTTTACAGTTATTTAATAGTTCACTGAGGCATGCTTACTTCTGAATTGTAGGCTGTTCTATACCAAGACTTAAATACACATCACTGTATATAGTTCTTGGATTGCTTTTTGAAGATGATTATGGGTTTCCACAAAACGAATTATGGAATGGAAAAGTTAAACAACTTGAAGAATTCCAATACATTTTAGTAACTAGTTTTTGATTGAATTCAAGAACCAAAAAGCAGAGATAGGGGTATACTCCGTTGGAGGACTGTTGTTGAGCAGGTACAAGGTCCTGGGCTCAGTCCCCAGGTCCACATAAACCAAGGATGGTGTACAGTTCAAGGGTATCCTGGGCTACCTATAAAATCTGAGGCTAGTCTGGGGTTAGAAACCCTGTCTGGAGAAAGAAAGAGTTGGGGTGTGGAGAGTTATTCATCAAAATTCTATTCCTTTTATGTGATGGTTGGGCCATGGTCATGTGACTTTCTAAGGCGCCCCTCCATAGTGTACAATGCCTTCTTTCTGCCATGCTCATTACTGACACAAACCCACCGCATGTTTCTGTTTTTGTTTTCAGGTGGGTGATCTACAATGACCACAAAGTTTGTGCCTCAGAAAGGCCCCCCAAAGACCTGGGATATATGTACTTTTACCGTAGGATACCAAGCTAAACCTCACAAGAGTTGGCTAGAAGAAGCCATACACCTTTTTAATTTGCCAAAAAAAAAAGAAAAAAAAAAGGAAAAAAAGAAAAATAAAGGAAAAAAAGTCTGGAAAACTGGACACAGAGGACTACATAGCTATTTATTGCTTCTTTCAAGACTGGGGCCACTCCACTCGACGCCTTTTGGAGAAGAACTGGGAAGAAATTTCTGTTGGTGGCAATACTCTGTTGTAGGGAAGTTTGTAATTTTTCAGGGAGTGGGTGATGTAAGCAATGACATTGGCCACCAGCACATCAGATACAGAGTGTCCCTCCCTCTTCTACTTTTCGGGTCAGTGGTGAGGCCTCACCTACAGTGAAAAATGCCCCCAAATAGGAAATCAAAACCTGGGCTTGTTTTTATTTGTGGCATCATGTTTTCATTTCCCACAATAATTTCTGACCTAGCTATGTGTACTAGGACATCTGCAATGGAAGCCATTTTTAATTTAAATCATATCAGAGTTAATAATACACTGTGTGAATGTGTGTGAGAGTGTACGTGTGACCTTTGTAGTCTACTGGAAATCTGATGGGTTGGTGTTCAAAGGCTAAGTAGTTGCCATTAAGCATATTTGGAAAAGGCAGGCAAACATTTTCACAAACCTATAACTCAGGAACAGTTGTTAAAAAATTAGTTCCCCACTTGGATTTTTAAGAAGTACAAAGGGCTGTGTTGTGGCCTCTAAGTGCTGTCTGGCATTCATGTGGGTCTATGCCATTTGACATCAATGCCAGGTGCCCAAGTCTTGTCCTATTGTGCTTTGCCAAAGGCAGATGGCTTCTCTTCCTCAGCAGCGTAGCTCCTCAAAGCTTCGTGTTTATTCATAGTTAGGTAACTGGTTTCTAGCCTTGTGCTTACTCCCTGGAATCATGTTAAATGCCCTGGCTTTGTCTTGACTTTCTGGTCCCTGAACTTTCTTAGGTTTTCACTTCTCTACATTTCTGGGGCCAGTCTCACCTTTGCCTTTACTGCCTATCTGCTGTGGCGTATAGTGTGACCTTGGGCACTTTAAGGATGTTAGCTGCAGAGACACATCTGGACCGCTGTCCCTTCCACCTGGACATTTCAGTGTCTTAGCTGCAGCCTGAGACCAGAACCAAGCTCTGGATGTGCTATGGGGAGGAATGAGCTCTCTATCATTTTGGAGCTTTTCACCAAACTCCAGCCTCAGAAGTTTCTAGTTCAGACTAGTCAATGAAGTGAAAAAGGATTTATTGCTGTCTGCCCAATGTGTGCTTGTTTGATTGAAAAGATCTTTCTAGAAACTGCAGAAGAATAAAGAGGCAGAACCAACATGGGCTGAGTAAAGCAGAGGCTTGGGGATAGGATGTGGTGAGTTTGAACAGCCGGTTTTCTGTTAAGCTGTGGCCCTGTCTCAAGGAAGGTCATATGTACTATAAGTCTGGGCTGTGGAGCCTGGGGCCAGAGGCCTGGAAACCTGGGTGCTGCCTCAACTGGCTATGGATCTTGGCAAATCTTTCCTCTTCCCGTGCCTCACTCTCCTCATCCACATGGTGATGAGGTGAGACATCTCTTTTTTAGCAGGCTTTGATCTGTGCTGAGGAACCTTCACAGAGAGCAGGAGGAGGAACATGGTAGGTGCCAGGGCAGTGCATCCCTGCCTTCTCAACTCTGCTGATGCTTTTTCCACCTTGAACAAGTGACATGGCAGAGGGAGGGAGCCCGTGATGCAGTAATTCTCTACAATACTGTCCCACTGACGCCCCATCTAGGCTTGACTTCAAGGTCCTAAGTGTCTGTTTTGTATGTCCCTGACCAACTTTCCCCCTACCCCCGTGGGAATTCCCACACTAAGCAGCCTTACAAAACCCACTCCCTAGAGGGCCACATGTCATAGAATAATGACACACATCATCAGTGGCTGGTTTGCAGTGTTACAAAGCAAAGGCCTTTTGTGGTGATAAGGGGCTCTCTGAGGTTTGAACTCAAATGTGGTCAAAGATAGCATGTATATTTTGAAAAAAATAAAAATTTTTATAAAACCTTTGCAATATCAATGGTGTAAAATCCACATTAAAAATTTAGAAAAAAATTAGACTATAAACCACTTAATTTCATTAAGTAGACTGAGCAAATTAACCCTTCTGATGCTGAGACATACTTCAAGAAAGTGTAGTATGGCTGCCTCTCCCCCGCTTCACAAACACAAGGGCTATTTCATGGCAAGGTTTTGTATTTGCTCTATTCATTCATATGGGGAGCTGGGTGTACTGGAGTGAGCAGCAGCTTTCTAGTTAAAAATGTGCTTGCGTTTGTCTCCTGGTATATGCAAATCAGGCTTCTCTGGAGTAGCAGTGGGATGGACTGCTTACCTTACACATGTGTGTAGACAGGACATGCGTGTGGCTGCAACTGGAACAGTGTGTGGTTTATGTCTACTGACCCACCTGCCAGGAGTCTTCTGTGTGAGAATGTGGTGGTGTGTTTGTGTGGCTCTCTCTGAGTGTAGGCATCTGTGTGAAGGACAGAGCTTTCTTTCTGTAAATATCTTTTGATATCCATTTGTGTAGACTACCAGTGTGTCTTTGGAAAATAGATCAAAGTTTTTGTTTTGTCACTTGGTCTGAAATAACCAAATAACTAGTCAGAAATCCAGTTTGATACAGAAGGGATTTTCTTTTTTTTCTAAATGGAAAGAATCTGGGAAGAATCATATTTTAGTGACATTTTGTATGAATGTTGTTTCAGTACTTTGAAATTGCCTAGTCTGTTTTCCCAAACCTACAAGAAAATGTGCCTGCTATCTCCCTTGAATCCCTCTGGGCTCCCATGACCTGAAATACACACTTATAGTGTGATCTGCCTGAGTCATTTTATCTCTGTGGGCCTTTGTCTGTGGATCAGGAGGTTAGACCTGGTAACTGGAAGTGCCCGTCGGTCCTAAAACCATTTGGGTTTTACTTTTCTGTAATTATAACCTGAATCAGACATGAGCTGGGCAATCAGAATTTAGATGTCAAGTCTGTGCTTGTTTGTTTGTAGGATCCTGTCATTGTTAGTTATACACCCCATTTCTGTTCCTGGTCTGTTTTTCTTTGGTAATCCCATTTCTCCCACGTTTGAGCTCACAACCCTTCAGTCTGTGAGGCCCTCTGTGACTGTTCCTCCCCAAAGCAATCCATTCATGATACCCTCTTGGAAAAATCTCGACTGACCTTCAGCTCAGTCTAACAAGAAAAATGTTTTAAAATTTTGATTCCCCTGAAGACAGCCCCACCCCCAGATAAGTGCTGACAAAGCTGTCTGTCCTAAGAAGGGTATTTAGAAAGTTTGTCTTTGTCGTCATTGACACCACGGCTGCTGAATCTCACCGTGGGTATTTAGAGCCTTCGAGGGGCTGCCAGGAGACTGGGCAGAACAGAGTATGGGTTAGATAGACGTGCTTCTGCCTGTGGGTAAAACTCCCAGCTGACAGAACAAGGTCTGTGTTGATAAGTTGGTGGGTAGAACTGTCTACCTGATCCTGCCAGGATTTCCTCGTGTCCTAGTTTGCTTTTCATTGGTGTAATAAAGACCATGACCAAAAGCAACCTGGGGAGGAAAGGGTTTATTTTACCTTATAACTCACAGTCCACCATGAAGGGAAGTCAGGGCAGGAACTCAAGGCAAGAACCTGAAGGCAAATACTGGGACAGAGGCCATGGAGGGGTGCCATTCACTGGCTTGTTCTCCATGGCTTGTTCAGCCTGCTTTCTTATACAATGCAAGACAACCTGCCTACAGGTGGCACCACCCATAGTGGACACAGCAATCATTAATGAGGGGATGTCCCATATGCTTGCCCACAGGTTAATCATTTTTTTTGGGAGGGGGTTTCAAGACAAGGTTTCTCTGTATTGCTTTGGAGCCTGTTCTGGAACTCGTTCTGTACACCAGGCTGGCCTGGAACTCACAGAGATCCACCTGCCTCTGCCCCAGTGCTGGGATCAAAGGAGTGTGCCACTAATGCCTGGCTCCCATAGGTCAATCTTAATGGAAGCATTTTCTCAATTCAAGTTCCTTCTTCCCAGATGACCTTAGCTTGGGTCAAATTAACAAAAACAAACAAACAAAACTTAATCAGCACACCAATGAATCATCCTTAGAGTTTGTTGAACACTGTAGCCCTCCAGGGTGGTGGGATTTGACCAGTCCATACTAAAGTTGTCCTGCATGCATAAAATTTGCACTAAAACATGAAGGCTTCAACAAACAGTATGACTAACTCATCATATTGATTGCAAATGATGTGGTATACATTGATTAACGTAATGGTAATTTCACATTTAAATTAATTCTGCTCTGTTGCCATCTGATTTTGTGTGGCTCCTGAATCATTTGGATCTGTGGCTAATGGCTCTTCCATTAGTGCTACAGTGTGAGGTAGGCAGTGACATCCCATGTGTAAGAAGAGACTTCTGCAGAGGCTTCAAATCAAAGAAGCTACACAAACACACGAGGCACTGGACATGCCCCAACAATTACAAGATTCTTCTGCTTAAAAAAAAAATACATCTTCCCAGTTTAGAGACAAAAGCAGGGCATCTCCAGTGGCTGTCCTTTACCCTGGCTTTGGAACTGCCCTATGGATTGGTGCCTGCTTTCCCAGCATCCTCAGGGTGCTGAGGATGTTAGCCGTGGCAGGGCTTTTCGAATACCACTTTCACCTCAGGCAACATTCTCTTGTAGTTCCCCTCCCTGGGTGTCGTGTTATCTGTCCACAGCTGTGTGTGTGTAAAGGCTGGGTGGATCTCAGAGCTCCTCAGCTTTGGCAGAGGTTGAGCCTGCCCAGCAGCGTTGTTGCTGTTGCTGGTTGCTGGAAGAGTTGGTATTTATTTATTTTGCACTAGTCACGGTTGGTGTGGAAATTACTTCAAGTGTTTGGGAGAGCACTTGCCTGTGTTGGAAAGAGATGGATAATTTATTGCTTTGATAGTTTTAAATTAAAAGCTATTCTCACAAACTCAGGTCCCTTTATGACTCTTGTTTATTTTTCGTTTGACAAAAAAGTACCAAATAAACTGATGATGTCAGTGGTGAATGGGGAACTTGAGATCATGCTTGATTTTATCTTTGACCATGGCTTGTTGTTGTGACAAGGCAGCCTTGGTCCCCATCCCCAACAGATGTCAGCACCTTGAAGGACATCTGGACTTCCCTGTTGGTTATCCAATCCCACACAGACCCCTGTGGCCCTGGCCCGCCAGTGAATGCGGTACATCAGGAGTTTGGCCTGACACTATGTTTCTATTGTGTATAATTTCCCTATTGCTACTATAGCACATTGCCATATCTTGGTTTAAAACACGTCCACCTACTCATCCTATGAGGCTGAAACCCTGGGACAGGAAGAGTTTGTTCCAGAACCTTTTTTTTTAAGCTGGCAGGGTCCTGACAGCTTTGATATCAGGCATGCTCACATCTCTGTTGGTGGATTGCTTGCCTCCCTTTTATTAGAACACCGGGGAGTCCATTAATTTACTCTGGTAATTTAGGACACTCCCACCTCAAAGTCCTTAACCTCAGTATACTCCTGTGACCTCAACAGCTGAGAGTTGGAAGCAGGAGGACCTCAGCAATACAGGCAGTCCAGCCTGGATTCCAAGAGACCCTGTGCAAACAAACAAAAACTTAATTTGATCACATCTACACAATTCCTTTGGCTGTATCAGACAACACATTCATAACGCCTCAGGTATTAGAGTGTAGACATTAGTAAGGTCTTTGGGATTGGGGACATTTCGATTAGTGCACAGGTTATGTTACCATTTGAAAATACATCTCTCTGTGACTCAAAGGTTTTAAAAGAATGAACCGATGTATTTTGAAAGTCCTAGTCATTGCTGACTTTAGTGTCAGGCCATAGTTTTGGTGAGAGTGGAAAGTGGATGGCACAATGAGATATTATTTATGGGTCAGAGAAAAATGCCTGCAAGCTAGCTGCTGCTGCAGCTTTATCCCATCATGCCTAGCAACTGAGCCTGCCCTTCTCATCATTCAACAACATGCTGTTGACTCTTTAGCTTAGCTTTTCCAAGGTAGTCAGTGACAGACTTTAGTCATAGTGGGAAAATATAATAGGAAAATGTGAAATTTCTCTTTGCAGGTGGCCAATCATTTTAAAAGAGGGACAGCAGAAAGGTAGCATGTCAGGGACAGGGCAAACAGGTTCAACATCAGATTCCTTTCATGTGACTTGCAAAAGTGTGACTTGGTCTCTCCTCAAACAACGATTGATTCCTCAGATGAGATATGAAAAATATATGACAGTTTGATGAACAAAGGACACCACATTAGCCCAAATGGTTCTTGGTGCCTTTGGGGCTTGAGTCCTTGTTTTAGACCAAGGTATTTTTAAAATGAATGTTGCACCACAGTTAATGACTGCTTTCCAAACAAACTTTCCTGAAGATTTTCATTCTGCCAGCTGGCTTGTTAATCTGTGCATCCTGTAATAAACAAACATCTACCATGTTCTATGTGTCATTTTGCTTACAGTGTGTCTGTAAATAAAGTAGGCACGCTCCTTGCCCTTGTTGAATTGGTTGCCTAGCAACACCAGATGCTAAATACAAAATCAGTAGTGTTCTCTAATGTGTGAAAAGATACAGAGTGCTGTGGGAGCATGGAGCTGGGCATGGGGCCTGATTCTGATAAACGGTACCCAGGGATGGCGTGGCATTGTTATATAAGATCTAGACCAAGACTTGCAGGAGAAGGAGCCATTCAAGAGGGTATTTGGGGGAAGTAGCATGGAGGCCCCCCAGTGGTGACATGTCTGCTCTGTTATATGAACAGTGAAGAGTCAGCAGGGATGGAGACAAGGGAGTGAGCATGATGGGAGGTGGGGGAGGGCAGCTGTTCTGGGGGTGGGGTGGCCAAGACTCCAGACTATAGAACATTAAGGGGCTTCCACAGAGCAGTGACATCTGACTGCAGTTTAGGACTATCTCTTGTCTAGGCTGGATGATACGAGAGCAAGGGCGAAGGGGAGATGTGGGAAGAGAATTGCAGATTTGAAACACAGAACACTTCAGGATTTTTGCCCCAAGGAGAGAAATCGATGGTGGCTGGTAGGTGGGATATGCACAGCACAGGGCCAAGAAGGTGCTAAGTTTTCAAATGTGAGAAAGGAGGTGGGCAAATAGCAAACTGCCTTTTGAGGCTGACCAAGAAACAGTGGAAGAGTTGCAGGTCCCATGTGCTTGAGCAGGTGAGTGGGTGGGGCCTTATGCCAGAGTGAGGGGTTCTGTAGAGTAATAGAAAGAGGGAAATGGGAGGGAGGTGGAGCCAGCACCTGCAGGTGGCTCCCTCTCTCCCCAGCTTTACCTTTCTCTGATACAGAAGCAAAACCAAGCCCTGTAGCCCCTAGTGAGACATAGTGGCTGGGGAAGCCTTGGCCATTCGAAGAGAGAGAATGTGTGAAAAGCTTATGTACTTGAACTAACTTAAAATTGCCGTTGTTTTCTATTTGAATGAAACTAGTTTAATTGCTATCAATTCTGAACATTTTATGAGAACAGGGTCATCAGTTTCAGACCTTTGCCATTATACATTTTCTCTTGTAGCCATCATTTTATGGGTCAGACTGTGTAAATATGTATTGTGACAATAAGATTTTCTACTCCCTGTTTTGAGAGCTTGCTTTAAAGTTCCAGCAGAGGAATGCAGGGACTTGTATACTCTTGACCAAAGAGATCTTTCTCTTTTGGGAGAGGTTGAGTGTGTAACTTTGGGAGGGGTGCACACAGTGCGGTGAGGGAGGTAGGGACATCACTAGCCAACAGACCAGTGATCAGCCCTGTCACTCAATGGGGTG